GTTGTTGTTGTGGTTTTGTTTTTTTTATTTGGGGGTGAGGAGTGGGGGGCTGGAGGGTTCTATTTAGCAAAATGATTTTCTTGTTTAGTTTGCCGGTGAGACAGGGAGAAGCAAAACGAAGCAAGGGTAACATGCAATATTGCTTTGCACTGCTGAGGTGTTTCACGTTCGGAAAAGCAGCTCTCAGGAGGAAAAGAAAAGAGCAGGTTCCTTTATACCTCTGCAGGCAGGCAACAATGAGAGGGAAAAGGGGTTTAAATTACTCTGCAGACAGTCCTCATCACCTCCACGTCTTTCTTCTCCTTCTGTGTGTGAAATAAACATTCTACTGTACTGTACCAGCTCGCATAAAAAGCCCACTGTTCTCAGCTGGGGATGGGGAAACAGGAATGCAGCTGTCAGGGGAGTTGAGAAAGTTACATGCCATTAGGTGTGCTGTAAACTATCCTGGGCTGAGCCTGTCTAGGTGCACAATAGCTCTCAGAGTGGGAGTCTGAGCCGGTCTCTGTCAGCGCACGCAGCTCCCAGCTCTGCAACGCCTGCACCATCGCACAGCGAGGCACCAAAAAGACGGATTTTGCTTCATTCGTTTGCCTGCGTACCAGAGAGGTTGGAGCAGCATCGACGCCCTCGCCGACAGGTAACCCAGGCAGATGTGCTGTCCTTCACCGAACTTCGGTTAACCGTGTTAAGATAGCCTAGCTTTGCTTGTTTCGGACGGTTGCCTATATCTTCAGCAGCACAGCGGGTTGCACAGACAGTGAAGAACGAGGCTGTTCCTTTGCATGAAAGACCATGTGTTGTTCTCCGAATACGACGCACAGAGAGCCTGAACTGATATTGCTTTGTGTTGTGGTTCTTCTTCACAGTGAGACCGACTAACAGCCAGATGTTTGTAATCTGGGTGTCAGGATGCAAAATACCATTAAGTGAAAAATGGATTCTGTAGTGATAGATCTAGACCAGTGGGAACAGAGATCTGTGTCTTCACATGACCTCAGATGTTCTCCAAGTTAAACTGCCTGATGGCTTTGAGCAGATCTCCTCAGCCATCTCTCTTCTACGGATATTAGTGAGCACGATCGAGGCTGTCGGTGTGAATGAGTTGCAGCGTGTTTTGCGAGTCTTGTCTGCTTCTGGGTGTGTGAGAGGGCAGTGGTATGTCCCTAGTTTCTTGTTCTCTTTCCTTGTAAGGAGCCCTCAGCGCCATGCTGGTCGGCGTCCGTGCCAATGGGGCAGAATTACAGTACTGGCAGCTGGAGCCCCGGAACCCTCCTCAATGACCCCATGTACAACACCCCCAGCCATGTCACGCTGGGTAAATCTGGCCAGATGGAGGGGCGATTAAGAACGTTGCTCTCTCTGCTGGGCTGTTTCGGTTTGCGCGAGAGCCTGTAGCTCGTGCTCGAGACAGTACGTGCCGTACGGAACCGCTGGGAGTCGTGACGATTTTTCCCGATCCTCCTCGTCCTCCACGCCAGACCCCGATTCCCACAGCCAGGGCTGAGTGAAACCCAGATCCATCCAGGGAGGATCTGCTGGGAAGTCACTGGGGCCTTGTGAGTGGCCGCTGCCACCAGAGCCTCCATGCGTACTAAGCTGGTTCCTGTTGTCCTCCCCAGGAGTGTGAGCCGGTCGCCATGTGCAGCGCTCTGAGCCCCAAGGAGACCAGAGGCCCCAGCCTTGCCGACATGCACCAGTACAGCCAGTGGCTGGCCAGCAGGCACGAGGCCAGCCTGCTGCCCATGAAGGAGGACCTGGCGCTGTGGCTCAGCAGCATGCTGGGTAAGAGGCGCTTTTCCCTTCCTGTCACTATGGAGGCGGGGGTGGTTTTGTGCTGTGGGCAGTCTGACTGACAGGTTGGGGAGGGTTCGGGTCTCAGCCATGGTACCCTGAGGGAGGACCTGTAGTCCAGCTGCTCCTGTCCTGCCGGCTCTATGGGCGGGAGACCCCCTGTGCAGGGCAGGTCATGCCTGTGATTGGCTGAATCTCAACCGGGAATTTGAACATACTGTATTTCGGGTAGAGCTGTGGAGCAGTGGTGCAACCTTTTGTAGGCTCTCTAGTCCCTTAACACTACGTAGACCAGGAGTCCCTCTGTCACGATGAGCAAGAAGAGCTCTGGTATGAACTAGAACTCTCCTTGAGAAATGAAAAACCACATCCCTGCCAGCAGCCATAATGCCCTGGTCAGGGTGAGCCTGGTAATATCCTGGTGAGCCTGGTCAGTACCTGGATGGGAGACTCCTGGGAAAGCTGAGGCTGCTGCTGGAAGAGGTGTTAGTGGGGCCAGTAGGGGGCGCTCACCCTGCAGTCTGTGTGGGTCCTAATGCCCCAGTATGGTGACGGGGACACTATACTGTAAAAAGACGCCGTCCTTCAGATGAGACAAAACCGAGGTCCTGACTCTCTGTGGTCATTTGCCTCGATTCATTGACTTCGTATCGCCAGCCGAGATTCAGAGTCACTAGCGGACACAGTGGAGATAATGTAGCACTTGCCCCCCACACACCTCATCCTGGGGCCGCTGGAGCAGCACTCACATGAGCTACCCTCGCCCCCTGTTCTTTTCCCGCGGGTGTGAGGAATTTGAATAAGTCTCTGCGTTGTCGTGTTTGCCTGTAAATGCCTGGTGGTGCTTCATTCCCTGGCTTCCCCTGCCAGATTCCAAAGACGTCTTCACCCGAACGGCTGTCCGGTGTCTCCCCCAGCCCTCGTCCTGCAGCTGGGCCGCGGTTTGGTCTTTGGGGTGCACCTCGTGCGAGCTGAGCTAGCCTCACATATTCTTACATCTCTGCAGCCAAACCCCCAGCTTCATCACCCATTGCAGCCCAGGTCTGTAGGACAGCCAGTGGCCTTTATGTGTGACTTCCATGGGTCTCCCATCTTGTTATCTAAATCTGTTTCTGCTCAGAGGAGTTGGATGTGACAACCTGCTAAATCTCCTATAATCATAAAGACATCAATCTCTCGGGGCCTGTCCAACCAGCCTCCGAGCAGCTAGCAGGGAAAGAGGGACTCGTATCAGTGTTGCACAGACGTCACCCCCATCTCTTCCTGCCTCTACCCCCAGTAGCCTTTGTACTGTAACTTGTAGGAGAGTGAAGGGGGGCAGATTGAAGAATGAGAAACATTCCTGGAAACCGCATCACTCTCCTTTTTTTTGTTGCGTGCCTCTGAGGAGGTCTGTACAGATATTTTTTTCAGTCTGATTTCCAAGCAGAAGAGGCTGTTCCCCTGTGGTGTGGATCACAGTCCCGGGACCAGGGGAGCAAGACACCCCAGATTGTTTCAGAGTTATCGGCTGCTGGCCGGGGACAGTCGAGTCTGTGTCTCTGAAATTCACAGCGCAGGCAGACAGGGGACTCTAGACAGCGGAGTGATTTCACCTTCTGAACTTACTGGAAGGAACTTGGACGTAATGTTCAGGCGCAGCTGTTCCTGATGTGTCCCGAAATGGTATCTGATTTTTATTTTCTGTTTGCTCGTTTGCTCCTCTGCTTGCGGGGTGCTGGTTGGAAATGGCTGTCCTTCTGAAAGCAGCCATGTCAGACATCCAGCCATTTTCCAACCACTTTTCCAGTTCAGGGTTGGGGGAAGCCTATTCTGGGAAGGTGGGGTACGCCCTGGGTGGGACACCAGTCCATTAGAGGCCACACACTAACGACAGGGCCAATTTTCCCACAAGCCAGTTAAGCTACCAGTATGTTTTTGGGTGGTGGGAGGACACCAGAGCACCTGGAGGAAACCCACATGAACACGAGAAGAACATGCAAACTCCACACAGACAGCACTCCAGGTCTGAAATTGAACCAAAGATCCCAGGGCTGTAAGACAGCAGTGCTAACCACTGCCCCACATGCTACCCCATTTCAGACATGTCTCACAGAATAAACTCATGCAGTGCCTTTGCTCTACTGTGCTTTACCTACAGTGGATAAACCTACTAACAACTTGGCAAACAGCAAGATCATGCTAAGATCAAGAGCAACACGACCAGGCAGTTTTGTTTTGCTCTTTTGCGGAAATGTACCAGTTTTTTTTCCCCACATCCAAGGCACATTTTTTTCCACTTTTTAAAGATGAAAATAGCCATAGCTCCTCACGCCTATTAAAAAGAAAACCTTCCTCTGCAAAATACCAGCCTTCTGCTTTAGCCCTCCCTTCTATATTTAGAGCAACGTGTCAACTGGAAGACAATTAAAATACGTCTCAATCCTCCTATTAATTGCTTCATAGACATTAGCTACTTAATCATTTTATCCTCGTCAATAAGAGGCTCCTTTTCCCCTGGTGCATTGAGAAGGCACAGCGTTGATTTAATAAATAAAGAGATCATTTCCTAACACAGCTGTCAGCTTTTTTAATCTTAGGACAGACTTGTTTCGTCTGCGCACGTACGTCTGAGCAGTACGCTTGTATGTAAGTTGCTGCTTCGCCGATCGCTGATGGTTTTACACGAGGTGGGAACAAACTGTTTCTGGATCAGCTAGCAGTTCTACAGCTCTGGACCTCAGCTGTGGTGACTCCGACTGAAAGGGCTGAGACTGGAGAAAGGGGGCATGTTTGGTCACAAGCCGTGCAGGAGTGCACGGCTGTCAAGTCCCACCCAAGAAATAATAGGACGCTGAGTCCATTTACAAAAGGTTGGTCATAAGATATTTTACAGGATACGATATTATGCAGGAACCAGACAGAGTTTGCTGGAGGAGTGCTAGTTTTTTTGTTAAGGATAGGAGTCAGAGATGGGGTATAGCTCTGGTAGGGTTAGGTTTAAGATGATTAGTTTGACATCCAGCTCGTCTGACATCCAGCTGTGTCTTGGAAGAAGCCAGAGTATCAGCTTCAACACCTTGGCTGGGTGGCTTGTTCCCCACTCCCACCACCCTTTGGGTAAAGATTGTCTTGATTTTAAAAGCACTTCCGTATAGTTTCCGCTTGTGTCCTCTGGTTTGTGTTTTCACTGCTCGTTCTGAAGACGTCCGCTGGGCGGACTTTGTCCAGGCATTTGAGGACGTTAAAGACTTTGATCAGGTCGCTAAGCTTCTCTGCTCAGGACTAAAACAGGTTCAGTTCCTTCAGCCTGCCAGTGTAATTTTAGAGCTCATAGCAAAGGCTGGATAAGGAGGTAACATCGAGATAAGTGGTAGGTTTGGGTTTGAGCTGGAAGACATCTTTGCAATAGAGATGTTGTTCCCCTGGAAGCTCTAGGAGCTGCTGTTGGGTCCCGGGAGGCCACGAGCCGGCCGTTTTTTGCAGAACTCCCCCCAGGAAAATCCAGCTTCATGCTTCCCTCCTCCTGATCTGCCCACGCACCTCCCTCTCTGCCACAAGACTTTGCGAAATCTAACAGCGCTGAAATCAGCGTAGAGCGAAGAGAGAAATGCGAACCGTGGTTTTCAGACTTTGATTCCTGCTGCGCAGTGGGGATTAAATAGTTTTAGCACTTACACATGTGTGTTCCCTGCCACGGGCTCACTGCACTTTCAAGCTGTTATTTAAGGGCTTGGCTTCCAATACTGCATCTCAAGACACTCCTAGACCTACACAGGTTGTTGGACAGATTACAGTATATATTCACATTCAAATCTTAAATTCGTCTTTTTCCAAGCCCTGTAGATACATTCGTTCAATTTTATATTCTATATCTCATGTTCTGTCAATATAAACAGTATGTTAAATATGCTGTATCAGTAAATCTGAGATAATAATAACAAATTCATCACCAACAAGAGCAGGTGTCTTATAATTCACCCATCTATCCATTTTCTAACTGCTTCTTCCAATTCAGGGTCGCAGGAGAGCAAGCACTGAGCGCAGGGTGGTATATACAGACGGGCTCATACAGACACAAACGCATGCACACACTCACACCAGAGGCAGTTTTCCCAGATGCCAGTTAGCCTATCAGTATGTCTTACAACTGGTGAGAGGAAACTCGCACAAACCCAGGGCGAACATGCAAACTCCACACAGAGAGCACCCCAGGTCTGAAACCTGAAAGTCCTCCACGCTGCAGGGTACCGGTGCTAAACCTTTAATTTACTCATGCGTTATTTTCTCTCAGACGTTTGACAGGAAACACCTTTCCAGGATTATGGCCTGCTGTCGCTAGGGGTTGTGGGAATGAACACGATCTGGCCAACCCGTCTGTCCATGTCCGTCTACCCAGCAGCCTTTCCACCCTGTCCACTTGTCTGGCTGCTCTAGCTAGAGTCCACAGCTCCAGGGACGTTGGGTGTTGAGTCAGCGTGCAGTAGCAGCAGGGAAGACACAGGACAGACAGGACACCCCATGACCAGGGGGTGGGGGCTGCTGGGAAGGCTCCAGTGGCAGGTTTATGAGGCCGCGGAAGCATGTGCAGTTTATTTTCCCTCTGGCTGGCGAGGGGGGGGGGGGGATCATGCCTCCCAGACCGTCTGGGCTGTTCCGATCACCCCCCACCCCCCAGTCAGCGGAGACTCCGGCGGATTCCTGCCCCAGCCGGAGCAGGCTCGCCGGCCACATCTGGAGCTCGTTAAGAACACCCCGCCTGCACCTCACAAAAGAAAAAAAGAAAAACAGCGAACAAAATATTCCGGCAGGTTTTTCCTCCTGAGCACCAACCGCCCTCCCCCCCCCGCCCCCCGGGTTCTTAAAGGTTTGGGGGGTGATCTCACCGGGTAGGCATGGCGGGCTGGAGCAGAGTTAGCGGCCGCAGTGCTGAAACACAGCCCATCACACACAGAGGGGCGAGAGCTGACTGTTGCCCCACAATTCCACTCGGCAGGCCTGTGCAGCTCTGCCACTGACCTGCTTCAGTCTCAGCTTTGTTTCTTTAGTGTTGTTCGCTGTGCTTCAGGCGCTGGTGAAAGTCTTCCAGAGCCATCTCTCCTTGCCCACATGTTGGAATGATTCCTTTGGCAAGCCGAGTAGGGCGACTCTGTGCCTGTGTTAGGAGATCTCTGGGGTGTGATATCCTCATCCTTACAGTGCGATTATTATGGACTGTTCATCTCTTTGCCCTCTCCCACCCCTCAGCCAAGTTTTTCGCCCCTGTCCTACAGTACAGTGTTTCTTCGTACACAGTCTTGCGAGATGTCCTGTGGTTGAGCATCTTAAAACCAGAGGAATATTAATCGGAACTCTGCGAAACCCTAGTGCATGGGATTATTATGGTAAGACCACAGTTCACCAGTGCAGAAACCCCAGGCTTGCCAGGACAATCCTGCTGGAGGGGGTGCACCGCACATTGCTTCTATTAAGCAGCTCCTGCGTTTCAATGGACGAGGCGCATTCGTTTCTAATGAGTGAGAGTCGCCGTCCTGACCTTCCAGGTCCTGTGTTGGTTGGGTGCTGAGCAGAGGATCTCAGCCCCCGAAGCAGCCCAGGGCATTGCTTTCAACAACATGACTGGGCGGCCTGTCCCATACTCCCGCCGCTCTTTGTGTAAAGGCCTGCACCCGTTTCTCAGTCTTGCTCTTCCCCTGGGTGCTCTGATTGGCCGGTTCCCCTGCCGCTCCTGAAGAGGTCCTCTTGGGTGCCCCTGCCGACGCCTCTCCCTCTCCCGCTGCAGGCACGGAGATCACGGCGGACACCTTCATGAGCCGGCTGGACAACGGCGTTCTGCTGTGTCGGCTGGCGGGGACCCTGCAGGAGAAGTTCAAGGAAAACGGCAGCGAGCTGCCCAGGGCTGGCCAGGTAAAGGGGGGAGGCCACACCCGTGGAGGGGCTGTGTGTCCGAGCGAGAGGGGCTTTTGCAACTGATGGCTTCCAGGGGCTGTCTTGTGAAGGATACAGGCCCGTATCCTGGGCTGCTGTGCTGCTCGGTGGTAGAGCACAATGAGAACAATGGCAAAGCAAAATTTGGCCCGGCGTCCTGGCTAAATTTCCCATTGGCCCTTATCAATCATGGCCTCCTAATAATCCCCATCTATGAATTGGCTTCATCTCTCTGCTCTCCTCCAAACTGATAGCTGATGTGTGGGGAGCGTTCTGGCGCACTATGGCTGCCGTTGCATCATCCAGGTGGGGCTGCACACTGGTGGGGGTGGAGGGGATCCCCATGACCTGTAAAGAGCTCTGAGTGGAGTGTCCAGAAAAGCGCTATATAAGTGTAAGCAATTAATATTATTATTTATTAATTATTATTATTAAAATGGTAGATGTGGAAATGGCAAGGAGGCTGACTATGGAAGTACTGTACCAACATCTAGGGGCTTTTTCAGAATTCGGTTCACCCGCCACAGCTCAGAATTTAAGTTGCTTTTCCGAAATCAATACGTCAAGAGCACACTTGAAGGGTGCTTAGGGTGGTATCGGGGTTTCAGAATTTGTTGAATGTATTTCATTAAGCAGCCTGTGCTGATCTCACTATTTGCTTGGTAAAGTAAGTCTTCAGGGAGGGTATTGCAATCCACAGTGCGGTGCAGCGGTAGAGAAGTGACCAAGAAAAATAGATAAAGAATATCTTTTTAAATATATATTTATGATTATATAACAATCGCCTTTAGGTCAATCTGTACATATTGGTGTTCTGCATATGGTTACTTCCTAAGTGACACCTCTTCTAAGCCTACTGAACTCTTATTTCTAATAGGAAGAGATAATTAAGGTCTTCTAATGAATTAATTTAAGATGTGGGATTCCTTTGCTCATGTCTCATGACTCTATAGGTGAGTGTGCACCATCATTTTGATCCAGGTGCCTGTGTGAATTTAATACAAAAACGCAGGGCTGAATTAAAGACTGGAGAGGAAAGAGCTGCCCTGGCACACCTGAAAGGGTGATCTTCTGTTTCGTTGACTGTAATGAACAGGGGAGCCATTTGGTGAAGCAGCAGATTGGTGCACTTCATGTCTCCATTCACATCTGGACAGTAAGCAGACATCCACTATGTACTGTTTGTACAGAAGTTCATCAAGAAGAGCAGAGAAAACTCTGACAATGGCTAGACTTACTGGGATGCTGAGTTCAAGGAGATCCCTGAGGTTTTCTGACACAGGAGAGCATTTCTGGATGAAAGTGACTGTCCCTGAACACTTAGGAACACAGCCAGAGCCACCTGACTTCACTAATAATCATAGTAATAATAATTCCTTGCACTTATATAGCACTTTTCTGGATACTCTACTGGATGATGCTCCAGTCCTCTCTCCACACACCAGCTCTCAGTGGGGAGGAGAGCAGAGTGATGAAGCCAGTTCAGAGATGGGGGTTATTAGGAGGCCATGACTGGTAAAGGCCAGGGGGAAATTTGGCCAGGACA